TTTTAAATGGAGAAATAATGTACAAGAGAAACCACGACAAGGTTTTCCTAAGATGTGTTGAAGGAAGAGAGGCCAATAAGATTATGAAGGAGATCCATTAATGAGTTTGTGGTACTCATGCAAATGGCCATATGATGACTAGGCAAATTTTAAGAGCCGGCTATTACTGGTTAACTAAGGAGACAGATTGTATCAAATATGCAAGAAAATGCCACAAATGTCAAATTTACTCGGACAAGACTCATGTTATTGCCTCTCATTTACATTTTTTGGCAGCTCCCTTGGCCCTTCTCTATGTGAGGCATGAACGTAATAGTTCCTATCAAACCTAAAGCATCAAATGGGCACCGATTCATTTTGGTAGCCATAGATTATTTTACCAAGTGGGTAGAAGCAGCTTCTTATCAAGATGTAACAAAAGGAGTTGTGGTCAAATTCATCAAGAAAGAAATTATTTGTCGTTATGGTCTTCCTGAAACCATAATTTATGATAATGCAAGGAATTTGAACAACAAATTGATGAGCGAGCTTTGCGAGCAGTTTAAGATCAAGCATCTCAATTCAACCCCTTATCGACCCAAGATGAATGATGCAGTGGAAGCCGCTAACAAAAACATAAAAAGAATCGTTGAAATGATGACTGTAACTTATAGGAATTGGCATGAAACGTTCACCTTACATGGTTATCGCACCTCAGTTCGTACTTCAAGCGGGGCAACGCCATTTTCATTAGTTTATGGTATGGAAGCTGTTCACCCCGTTGAAGTAGAAATTCCATCATTGAGAGCTATCATGGAATCTAAGTTACAATAGGCTGAATGAGTCCAAAGGAGTTATGAGCAACTAAATTTTGTAGAAGAAAAGAGGTCGACGACATTATGCAGATGACAAACCAAAGAAGAATGATGAAAGCCTATGACAAGAAGGTGTGCCCAAGAAGGTTTAGAGAGGGAGATTTGGTTTTAAAAAGAACTCTCACATTGCAGAAAGATCATCAAGGCAAATGGACCCCGAATTATGAAGGACCATTTGTGGTGAAAAAGGCTTTCTCTGGAAGAGCACTAGTTTTGGCCAATATGGATGGCAGCGAGCTTTTAAATCCGGTCAATCCAAGTCATGTTCGAAAGTATTATACATAATTTCCCGTGTATTTCGAAAAACTTCACTTTGATCTCAGTATTTTACTTGAAAGACATTTTGTGTATCCATTCTCTATTATAGCCTACAAATTTGAACATCTTTGAGATATGTGTCCTTTGTCATAATTGGAAATCTCATTTATAAATTATGTTCTCTTTTGTCTCTTTCTATTTATGAATGACGGCAGTTGCTTACATTCACGTTCTCCAAGGTCACTTGTTACTCGAAATCAAATGTAGGGGCATAGAAAGCCTAAAGATAAGGATATTTGTTCTCTAGAATCATTGGGGCAAATATGACATTACAAAGTTATCAAGGGCAAAGTCATCATCCCATTTAAGGAGTGTTTAGCCAAGTCTCAATTTGTCTGTGTACTCTCGATCCAGTTAAAAGGGTTTTGAAGGAAAGCGAAATGCGGTGATCGGGCTATTTGGACAATCCCAAGTTTATATTACAAAAGCAAGTGATTCACTCTATTTTTCACATCCAAGATAAAGTTTCCTGTTATCATCGTGCGTCAAACATATTTCATGCATTGTTTCATGCATTCTTTACATTTTTCTTGAATAAGTCTCCAAAAAGTCTTAGGGCAAGAAATTTCGTGACATCTCATTTTACTCGAGCAAGCGTGTTTAATTTATTTGTTGGTTAAATCGAACCCAATTAAAGATCGTGGTCGAAGCCTATGTCAAGCCAGGTACTTGCTTTATAATGTCCCATTGGTTAAATCGAACCCGATTAAAGATCGTGGTCGAAGCCTGT